ACGACTGGCATACACGTGTGTCCTCGTGTGGTATACGTGTGGCCACGTATGGTACACGTGATCTACCTTCCCAAGTGTGCGCGCACAGTACACGTGTGGTATCATCCAAAGTGTACGCGTACACTTTGGATGAGCGCACGTGTGACATACGTGTCAAAGGCGGGGAGCGCGGCCCAGCGACGGCGGTGACTAGGGATAAAGGGCGCGGGGTCACTGCACTACAACAGGACATTGGTCCTGTCGGTGGGTCAGGTCCAGACAGAACCGACACGGCGGGGGCCCGGGTAATCCTTGGTTGAAGAACCGGACCCCCTGGTTCTGTACTGGCCTTCCGTACGGATATGCGCGCGCGTCACCTTGTTGGGCGGGCGCCATCGGTGCGCCCGCCGGGGACGAGGCAGGTGACGGATGGTAGCTAGTCGGCGGCGAGCTAAGCGAGCTCGGCGTCGCCGACTGGTCCGTCACCGCCAGTATCTCCTCCGTTTCGGTTCCGCGCGCTGTCGGGAGTTCAGACAGGCACTCGACCGACAGCATGGGCCTTGTCCGCGCGTTGCGCGTGAATCTTCTCACCGAATCGGACGGTGCTTGAGGCGACGCGAGCGAGGTCGCCTGTCCTCGAGCCGAGCGGTGCGTCTCGCCTATCGCTTGCGCGTAGCGTGCCACCGCTTGGTAGTCCACGCCCGGATGCGTCGCGAGATAATTCCGCACCTGCGCGCACGTCGCTGGCAGAAGTCCTTCAACGAAAAGGGACTTCAAGCGCCTGTCCGAAAATACGGTTCCGCAGCGCAACGCCTTGTCCCACAACTGGTTACTGTACACCTCCTCCGTCGTGTTAGAGCTCTGCCGGAAGGAGGTGACATCACCGACCGCTTCGGAAATAACTTCGTCAGTCGCGTACGTGCGCAATAAAAAGTTAACAACTTCCGCGTAGGTTTCGAGCATATCGCGCTGCTCCGCATCGACCGCCATGGTGTTCCCGTGTAGCCTGGACTGGAGCAAGGCGTGAGCCTGCCCAGTCACATAGAACTGGAAACACCATACGGCCGCGCCTTCGCTGACCCCATTGTGGTCGCAGGCCATCTTGAAGCGCGCGAGAAACCCTAGCACCGCGATTGGATCTTGACCACCGAATGTGTGGGTTTTCAGCTGGACGTCCAACTACTTCTGATAACGGTCAACTCGCCGCGCGGTACTCGCGTCGTAGCGCGCGCGGCGATTTTCCAGCCTATACGTGCGGCAGTCGACGGCCTTGGTGAACAGGTCGTTCAGCGGCCTGATCACCGGCAACCGTTTCGGATCCCGCCTCGGGGCAGACCGGCGGTCTCTGCCTCTGCGATGGCGGTCTCCTTCTCCGCCGGCGCTACTGTAGCCCTCGGGATCGGAGTCTTCTCGCCGGAACCGACGTCGGTCGCGCGCATTGCGGCCTCTGCGGTCGCTTCTGCGCGATCCGTCCGACTCGGTGTCCTCGTCATCGGAGGGATATCCACCTCCTCCGGCATCGCGGTATCGCGCGTAGCGTCCGTCGCGGTTCTTGCGCGTCGCCCTGTGGCGACGTCTTGTGTCTTCTTCCTCGGAGGGGTTTTCTGTACCCTCCGAGGTGTAGCCTTGAGCGCCGGGTGCGCTTCTTCTGCTCGACTGATACGGCTGTCGCTTTTCTGTCGCGAAGCGCCCCAGGCGGTTTTCTGTCCCGCGGGGGCCAGCCGTATCGGCGAGTACGGGAGGGCCATTTTCTGTGGGCCCTCCTGTAGCACCATAAATTGCTGGGAGGTAAATGGTCTTACCCTTAGGGTGAGGGGCCATTGTACCGATCCCGGGTGCGGCACCGATCGGTTCAGCGTGCGTTAGCGTAGGATCCGGAGCGGTTGAGTCGCGCTGCTCGCGTGCGTCGACTCCTGCTCCGGCGAAGGTCGTGGCCAGACGATTGGCCACGGCGGAGCTGATCGCTCCCTTTAGAGCCGTACCGGACGGGGATTCTTCATCCACAGTGGTGAGCGCGGTCACCACCTTGCATTGGACTTGAGCGGGTAGAAGTTCGTCCAAAAGCGGTGGGATCGCGCGGCGTACGTGCCCGTCCACGAGCGCGGGCACCGTTCGGTGGAGGCATACGCGCGCTACCTGGGGGAGTTCCGTAGCGAGGAACTCCTCGACCCAGGCCTGGATGCGCGGCTGAATCGCGTCGACCATCCATTAAACGCGATTCTCAGTGCCTGCCGACGCGGCCGGCGTAACATCCGATGCGGACGCTCGCGTGCGGCCCGGTCGCGGTGGCGGTCGTAGCAGGGCTTCCGGGTTCTCCACCCGGGGGCGCGGTGCGCCACTGCCACTGCGGGTGCTCAGACACCCGGAGGCGGAGTCTCCCCCTTGATCCGGTCGGTTCATCGTCGAATACGCTTCGCCATCGACGCGGTGATTTCTCAACCTTTTCCGTCCGTACGGTTCTGCGCGCGATCGAGCGACTACACGTGCGGCTCAACCTCGAGAGTTATCCCCTCCACAAGAGTACCAAATGTGGGATAACTCCTCTCCGCCCTGGGTTGGTTGAGAGGCGGAGGCTTTAGCGAGGGAGCACGCGGCGCGGACGCGACGCCCCAATTGAACTGATCGGACGAGCTCGCGAAAAGGGAGTGGCTCACTGACCAGTTACGCGCAGTCGCCCCGTGGTGCGTGAACGGGAGCGACCGGTAACGAGTTAGAAGCCAGCGCGCGCGACAGACAACCAAAAACGGACGTACGTAGGCGCAAAAGGGACGGGGGCGAGCTTGCCCCCGTTTACTGGTGGGGACGGGTGCCAGGTCTTAACCCCGCAGAGGGACGCCTCGGACACCTGTCCCAGTACAGTAGTACAGTACCTGCCGCCTAGTGCGTGCCGGGTACTGTACACAATTAAAAAACTAGCGCCATAATTGCTACTACCGCACGGACGCTGCTACTACACGTGTGCACTACTGTACACGCGTGTTGCTTACAGACTACCGCACGGACGACACGTGTGCTAACGCGCACACGTACCACGCGTAGACTACCGCTCGGACGACACGTGCACTACTGTACACGTATGCCAGATTACGACCGCTCGGCATGCGCGCGCGCTCGCTACACGTGGGCACAGCCGCCCACGTGTATACCGTATACGGCCGTCCGATGACCTCCGCGCGCTCGCGCCGGTCATTACACTACAAGAGGAAACGTAAGTTACATAGAAGAAGCTGAGAATGAGCTCTGCAATGAGCCGCAAAGCGACAACAGTGATGCGGAGGAGGCACAATTAGATGAAATTATGCCACAGTGCACGAAGTGCGGCAAATTCTATCGACGGACCAAAGCACTCGATGCACATTACTTGATATGTACTGGAGCTGTGGGGTCCCAATCTGTTCTTTTTCGAGCGATAAGGATGGCACTCAGTATGCTCAACACGTCTGACATTGGGACATATGTCTCCAAAGACATACACCCTGCCCTCGTTGGTCTGCAGATTGAGGAAAGCACTAGAACAGCCTGTTGCATATCATCTAGATGGGCTGGAAGGCCGTTGCACGGAAGCACGCTTGGAGCCAATACTGTGTCATTGTATCGAACGGAACTCACAGGATGGTTTGATGACGGGAACCAAGAGGGAGGACGCAAAATGAGCGCGAGCCGGATGATCCAAAAACTAAAAACCATGTATCCAGGACGATATAACATACCCGCAGAGCAGAAAGTCATTGCGTTTATCAGTAGTTTGGTAAGGAAAGAAAAGAAAGTCAAGTCTCACAACGCGTTCAGAAATGAGAGACAAGCTGCCGTCGTCCCAGTGCAAACTCATCTTGTAGAGGCGAGAGGGGAAGCGATGGTGCGGCCGAGGATGTCGCAAAAATATGCCAAAGCAGGATCTGGTGGTGGCCGATGAGCAGTTAATGCCTCGGTTTGGGAGACAAAGGCTTATTGAGAGCTTGAAAATAAGCAATGATGCCCTTCCGGAGGATTTTCCGACCGACAAGGCAATTAGGAAGAAAGTGGCGTCGCTGCGGCACCAAGGAAAGCATAATGCATAGTCTGTGGTAAATGGTGTGGATTTGAAAGGTATAAGATAGCTTTTCTGGTCAGGAACTGTCTGCCGGGGAGACACATGCTTTGTGGTGGTGTTGAGTATGAGGGTGAGCATAAATGCAATAAAATGTATATTTTTATCTAGTCCATTCGCGCCAAACGAGCAGAAAACGGGACCTCACCAGCCCTTCACGTGCATGCTAAATCCACAAGAAAATGCGATTGCCATTATCACCTGATTCAGAGCTTTATTGGGATACCACAAACGTGCTGAAAGCTTGGTTCCGCAGTTTTCCCACAGGTTCAGATTGTCTCAGATCGGCCGTTTTTTGTGCCCCTTTTTAAAAAAATTACGTGTTAATTATCTTCATTCTGCTTAATTATCTTCATTCTGCTTAATTATCTTCATTCTGCTTAATTATCTTCATTCTGATGTAGTTGGACCTGTACTAATGTCTGGAGGCCAGCTTTTTTTTGCCTAAATGTAGACATTAAATCGAAACTTTGTAAAAGCATTTGCTTGTCGATTCTCGCGAAAACCAACTCGATGCATATAAAGGTGTTAAAAAGTAAACGTCGGCTTACAGTAAGAATTTCTTTTTAAGCTGATTTTATACCAGTACAGTGCACTACACGATTTGGTGCTAGGGCTTGACATATCGCATAATGTGGCGCTATTGGGGGGGTGGCACTGCGAAAAGAGTCGTCCGTAAAGGTCTTCAAGGTCCTCGTTTTCATCCAGTTTTTGGCGGGAATCCAGCCTCGTCTGTTCGTTTTGGACCTTTTGAACCATTCCTTCCCTACCAGTACGCTTAGCCTACCTTGGTCGCCACCGGCACCAACATCAATTGCGACTACAGGCGCGTCTCTTCAAAAGCCCACGCCCTCCCCCCGCGCACGCCTACGCTCCAGTCGGTCGAGTCGCTTCCACTCCCCGCCGCTGCACCCATCTCCTTCCCTGCTCCACAATGCCATCGCCAGGCTCCTACGAGACGCCGACGACGCCTGGCGCGGTGCGCTCCTACGTGCTCGGCCGTTCGAGCGGGCAGGCCCAAGCCGCGAGCACGGTGCTTCTCAATGTCAACCACTCCAACCTGAAAACCACGCGCTTCCTCGAGCTACGCATGGACCTCTCCGCCTCGATCTCGGCCGTCAAGGACCGCCTGTACCTGCACACGGGCACACGCCCGGCGTCGATGACCCTGCTGCTGCGCTCGTCAGAGCGCGGCCCGATCCGCGCGGAGCTCGCGGACGAGGCCCGCACGCTCGCCGACTACGCCGTCGCCACGGGCGACTGGCTGCATCTCGTCGACGACGACCCGCACTCCGCGTCCGCCGGGGGCTGGCTCGAGGACACCTCCTTGGCACCCAAGTACGAGCTGCCGGAGGGCAAGTACGAGAGCAGCGAGAATACGTACAGGGCGTATAAGGCGCGCATGAGGGAGAAGGATCCAAAGTGGAGTATGACGTCAGAGCTGGCGAAAAAGATGAATAAGCGCAATACCGACCATGTCGATTTGGCGGAGGAGAGGCCGGAGGTCGAGGTCGGGCGCAGGGTCGAGGTCGTGCCCGGCGGGAAGAGGGGCGAAGTTATGTTTGTTGGGAGGGACCTGGAGGGCCTGCCGGAAGGTTGGTGGCTTGGCATTAGGTTTGATGAGCCCGTCGGGAGGAACGATGGTAGTGTTAAGGGCGTGCGCTACTTTGAGGCCGACATGGGCTTTGGCGGCTTGGTCAGGCCGTCTAGGGTTACGGTAGGCGACTTTCCGCCGTTAGATGACGTCGACGAGGGGAGCGAGGATGAGATTTGAGACTTGGTCGCAGATTTGTGCGTCGTGATTTGGGAGTGGGACGGGGGACATTGGGGGAGCTCAGTGCTTTGCCGTTTCGAGGAAAAGCTCGTGGTGAACGCCGGCCACACGAGGGTAGCCTAGTAGTCTCGCGAAAAGCGTTGACATATGTATAGAACATGAGTAAATATATAACTGACTCGCAGTCGAGCTAGGGACGCGGGAAGGATGCGACAGGCGATACGGTATGTGAAGGAGGGAATCACCACAAGCACCAGCATTGAGATAGCATTCGCAAAAATAGTCATTGAATAAAGCATGCAACAGCACCAGCATTCGTGCGGGCATGCGTAGAGGGGGTGTATCCTAGAAAGGATCTTCTGGAAGATGGTTCCACCAAGGTGGAACCACCCATTGAGATGTGGTGTCGAGTCGCAAAAAATATGCATCTTGCCACATGGTTGGTCGGTGCGCGATCGCCAACAAGGCGTCGAGAGACACCCCAAATCGCGCGAAACTGCACACCATTCGCGAGTTTACAATCTCTCGCTGCATTTCTGTATTTTGTTATCCATAAAATCTACCCTTCAGCGCAGGGTTACTGTATACCGTACGCGCCAGATCCACTCCCACCCAACCATACAGTACCCTAAAGGGTTCTATACCGTTCCACCGTAAAAGCTTCGCTTACTTCCCCGTCCGCTCACACCCCGACTCCAGTACCTTTACGCGTCTATGGGCGTAGCGCGCCCCACAAGCCGCATTCTACCCCGCCCTGCTCTCGCCCGCCCACGCCCGCCGCCACGGCCATGACCATCGACGAGTACGGTCCCACCGCGGGCCGCCTCATGTACATCCCAGCCGGCCTGCTCATGCTTTTCTTCGGCGGCTTCCTGGTCAAAGCCGCGTTGTGCCTCATCTCTTGTGCCTTGGTGGGTCATCTGGTCTTCATCGCCGCCGTGCAAGCCGGCCTGCAGTACATCCCCGTCATTCTGCTCGTCGCCCTGTCCGCGCTCGCCACCTTCGCCGCCGTGCTCGAGGCCTGCGACCAGGGGCCCGACTTTGCCACGGGCGCCGTCCTGGGCACCTGCATCGCGCTCACCTTCTATCCCGCGCCCATCCTCTCTATTGTCCTGGCCGTCATCATCCTGTCCGCCGCTTTTGGCCTTGCGTTTGCTCTTGTTCCGAAAGAGGTTGGCATCTTTTTGTCCAGCTATGGCGGTGGGTTTATGATCTTTTACGGCATGGAGCTTATTGATAGCGACGTGTTCGAGGGAAGCCGCCCTGTCCCAGCTTTCGTTCGCGTTGATAGCATCGATATGTGGTTTTCCGTCCTCAGTTTCCTTGTCGTTGGCTTGCTTGGCTGTTGCGTTCAGCTCATCCTTTTCAGTGGCCAGGCTAATTCTGGGTTTTCGCGGTATCACTACGTTGATATCCCTTGACGAGACAGCGATTGGGGACATGCCAGAGCAACGTTCTCTGTGGACAGCGCGCGTGACTAGAGTCGTTTACCCGCTGCCACTTGCGATCGCTTTCCCGTTGCATGTTTCAGTTGCCCTTGCATTGACCGCATCATTAGTGCATTTTTCCGTGTCGTTGTACCCCTGGAATGCTACCTTACTGAGAGAAATGGCAGAGGAGGGGGAGCATTTGCATTGTAGATTATTTACAAGTGTGCCAGATGGACGGACAGTGGATGTGTAAGGCAAAACAAATAGGGTAAACCAGAGACATACACGAAAAACAAGTATCATCTTGCCAGACAAAGTCGCCGTCGTTTAGATGACCTTCTGAAAGGATGAGTTACGAGCATACACGCATTTCTAATTACATATTACCGTGGCCAGACTATTTGAGGCGACTAGAGTTGAGAGAAAGGCGAGGACAAAGAAGGAAAGAAGCATTGCTGATGAATGGTTTGCGATGACACTGTCATACTAGTGTTGTTTGTGCCTGCTAGATTGGCCATTACGGATGTGGACTGAGCGGGCGTTAGTGCGATATGGTGGCGAAGGAGGCGGCACCATTCTCAAACTAGCCCAGGAACACAATGCCGCATTGCCGCATGCGTGAGAGCAAGTTGTTGAGCTTTATAACAGTGTGTGAGAGAAAATAGTTCATCTGTATATTATTGAGTGATTGGACGTGTTTCATCTGTACATTATTGCTCATTGACCAGTAATGCCAAGAAAGAGTTCGAAGTAGAAAGCTGTAAAGGTGAAGCAAGCTTGCTCGAAGAGACCGACCATAGCATGGTGAGTTCGAAGGCAAAATGCCCAAGAGATGTCTGTCGCCTTGTGTTGTAACGCTTACCGCAGACTCTAGTTCGACGCAAAAAAGGGGACTTTGCGTAAGTTGAGAGATTAATGTCGCTGACACTCCTTCATATCTCTGCGTACACATTGAATCGATTTCAAGAAGTGACGCTTCTCGTTTGATGCCCCTCGTTCTTTCTAAACATTACAGGCAATCGCTTGAAGCCTTCAGATCCACTCAGGCCTCCATATGAAGAAGCGAAGAAAGCGACTACAAATACTCTCTCGCCAAAGGTTTGCTTAAGTTCACGAAGAGTGTCATTTCTTTCTGTCTTCTAAAGCAGACCGCCGCTTTGATCCAGAGGGCTCATTGAAGCGCCATTGTCGCGCCTGAACCGTAAAATCCCCAATTGTATGATACTGCAAATGTTCTGCAGCAATCACCGTGAAACAATCACTAGTTTTTCCGAAATGTTTTGAACGTTTCCATGATGGCCCTTTGCCTTTCCGCTACATATCAACATTTCTTTTGTCTTGATCGCCATCAAACAAGCTTCTCAACTCAAGAACATCAAACATCAAATGGTGGGCCCTCTTCAGTCGCCAGGAGCGAGCGCTTCCATCCCCATCACCAAACCAGACAACGATGCCAAGCACAACGCATGTTTCATAAAGACCGGGGCCGAAGATATTGCTGGGCACCATACGGACTTCGTCGTGCAGCCGTTCTCAGACCGCATCTTTATCATAGTCACGCAGCTGGGAAAGATGGGAACAATGGTAGGGCTACTGATTTCGTGATTTCTCATTTCCTGAAGAAACGCACCTACAGTCGCAATGAAACTGGTCGCGCCTATTTGAGAAAGCAACTGGCGTCAAGACTAGTTGCGAATTCCAGTCGATCGGCGCGCTGACTAACCACATATTCCATTGCGTTTAAACTGAACTGATGCTGAACAGATTTCCGCAGAAAAGGAATGCGCAATTGGGGGGGCGCAGTCTTACAGCGTCACAGTATTGATGGGCAAACGCGAAGTTCCTGAGCTGGAACTTTGCGCCCGTCAGGTGCTCGAACTGATCGAAAATGACGGCTGTGCAAAGCCGCTGCTGATATCCCTCGCGTTGAAAGATCATTCAATTGAAACGATAAAAGCCGTCATCGCGAAAGTCAAGAGCTTACGGGCGTGGTGAGAATCGTTGAAGAGGATGTGGTTGAGCGTGTTCAATCAATGCACGAACAGAGATTTTTGGGCGTGGTGCCAAGGGTTACACTGGTGTCATATTGCTACTTTCACGTTCAGTGATGGTGAAAAGTTGGTTCCGTGCTATCTGTTCACACGGTTTGTCGCGGGTCTCTCAGACTGCTCGAATCCCTTTTTCTTTCCCATCGCAACCGGACTTTCCCCTTCCTCATGGGCTTATTTTATCTAACGCGGCCGTCTCATAGCTGCACATCAAAGCGCGATAGAGTTTCTACACGAAGACGCGGAACATGTCTTGAAGATATTTCAATTGAGCAATCGTTGCCGAAACGACTTGCAGTGGCAGTGTTATTATGCCTCTTGAAAATATCGTAAAAACTGACGGGCTTCTTGCCTATTTGTCGACATCATAACTGTACAGAGTACTCTGCACCAGAGCCTCGGCTGAGTTACGATCACAATCCCAATCATCGGACGACTTGCGAACGAAAGTGGCTCGAGGGGTGAAACCTTGCTATCGACATCCATTGTGCGTCCTTGAGCTTTGGAAAACACAATGTTGCGGTGCGTTGCAAGAAGAGCATTCTCTGCTGCGCGTGTGCGCAACCTGGCCACTATCAGAGAACCAGGCGTGGTGGGCCTGGTAACTCCTGACGATCCTCGACAGGTACGATGAGCGCAACGTCCTCCTCCTGCGGCCCCCATGCGCATTCTATTCTCATTCATATGCACCAAACGTTTCGCCGAATCCATTACTGACGAAGATGCTCCACTCATCCTGCGAATGCGTGCGCGCCAACACGTAGGCGTTAAAAGAATTGTACGGGCGAACCCTTGAAGCCGTGAAGGATCTCCCCGAGAGCGCCGCGTATCGCACCAATGTGGAGAAGATCACAAATTATCGACTTGGAGTCGTGTCCGAAAACGAGGACATCGAGAAGATCGAGGCGATGCTAAACATCGGGCAAGTGCAGGAGATCATTGAGCAGGCCGAAAACGAGCTGGAACTCATTCCACACATGGCGGATTGGAAGCCTTGGGAGATGCAAGATGGAAAGAAGCCCGCCGTTATCGAAATAGTAGACTAGAGGCGGGGCGCGTCGCATCACGCATGACCAACGCACACTATGAGACAAATGAGTTGCAGATACAGTCGTTGAGTCCTCCATTGTTGGCGCGAGATGAGTTCGACGGCATACGGCAGCATTAGATCGAGCCCGTGGATTTATAGTACGACATCTTACTACATGCACCTGCAACGCTCTCTTTCGCATCTGCAATCCAGGTGGCGTGACACTACAGCGCGAAACAGTAAACCAGGATCAGACCCGTCCGACAAAACATATCGAGCCTTCACCGCTAGCACGCCATCTACTGCCTCAAAACCCCTAATCTCCATCAGGGCATCAGCCCGGCTGCTCTCATTGCCCGACGGCAGCGGGCAGCGTAACTTGCGGCAGCACGGATTGTGTTGGCACGGTTTGCGGTGGCGCAGGTTGTGGTGGCGCAGGTTGCGATGACACAGGTTGCGGCGGAGCGAATTGCTGCGCGGAGTACTGCTGCTGAAGCTGTGATGGAAAGCCGGCTGCCTGTTCTGGCATCGGCTGCGCATGTTGCACATTTGTCGGCGGTAGCGGGGCTTGCTGCTGTATAGGTTGCGAATACACAGGCGGTTGAGCTGGCGGCGCGGACGCCTGGTGTTGCATCACAGGCTGCGGCGCGAGAATTTGTCCCTGCGAGTAAGCGGCGGGCCCACCATTCGACATCTGGTGTTGCGGGTACGGCTGCTGCTGCATGGCGGCCGGCGGCATGTTAGGCGGGGGCGAGACGGGGGTAGCGATGGCAGGGACGCCTTGCTGCAGCATGGGCGAGTTGCTGATCTGCGGGGTGATGGCGGCGGGTTGCAGGGTGTTGGGCATCCACTGGCGGACCTCGTCGCGCGGGATGACGCGGCGGCCGAGGCGGATCTTGTCGCCTTGCGCGTAGGCGTCCTTCACCGGCTGGAAGTCGAAGTAGTACTTCTGCAACATTAGCATGGCCGCGACGCTGCGATCCGTGACGGCGAGACGCTCCATGTCGATATACTCCAGCTCCGTGTACAGCTGGGTGGTGATGGAGTTGAGCTGGATGGCCAGGTCCATGACGTTCTTCTGGTTCCTCGTCCGGCGCTCAAGGCGCTCAACCGACACGGTCTTCCCCGGCTTGGCTTCATTCTCAAGCATCTGCTTGGTCTTCCTGTCGTAATACTTGTACTGCCTGGTAGTCTCCAGCCTCTTCGCGTGCAGGGCCTCTGCGTTTTGGATCCTGGAGAGCATGGCGGCGAGCTCCTGCCTAGCGAACTCGACCTTCTGCATGGGGGTGTAGCCGGGGTCCGTGGGCGGAGCCTCGACGGCGGTGCGCGCAGACTCCAGGGCTTTGACGACTGCGCGGGATTCGATGTCGGTGGCCGAGTAGACGGCGGCGGCGGCGGTGCTGAAGGTGGTAAATGAAGCGAAGAGGTTCTTCCACGCGGCCTCGTTGGTGGCGAGGGCGTCGTGCAGCGCGCGGAGGGCGGCTTTCCAGGTCGCTAGGGTCTGCTGCGTGACCCTGTGCGATTCGTCCGACTCGGTGATTTCGCGCTTGGACGTAGCCGGCGACATGGTCACCTTGAGGCCGTGCATGACTTTGCTGCGCGCGGGGGCGCCTTCTTGCCGCGGGGCGCGGCCGAAGAAGCTCATTGCGAGGAGGGGTGGCGGTGGCTGACGGGGGTGGTAGAAGGGGGCAAGGTAACAGGGAGGGGTTGAGGTGATGGGTTGAGGTGATGGTGTGAGGGGACGGTGTGAGGGGACGGTGTGAGGGGACGGGGGCTGGGAGAAGGGTGGTTTTTTAGTTTTGAAGTGAAGGGGAGCAAGGGCGTTTACGTTGCTGTATCGGGCGGGTGTAAGAAGGGAAAGACGCGGGCGCGGCACTGGCCGTTCGGGTGTGTCGGTGGCTGCACCCAGATGGGTTCCTGCCAAACTGTCCTGATGTCAGGACACTGTCAGGATGCTGTCAACAGCAACGTCATGGCCCGTTTACGTGGTTTACACGTCCACATGATCCTTTTCAACTGTAAAGAGGGCGCTTACAGTGCTGGCGATTTGGTTTGGCCAATGGACGGGCACCATCTGCATGCAGTCCCCCCAATACGGGAAACTGCAGGGGTGAACGAGCGTTGCCCCGTTGCCCTGCGTTGCCTTGCCCTTACTGCACTGCATTGCTCTGGCGCGTGAGATCGCCCCAGCTCCACGCACGGTATCATACTGTACAGCAACAACAACCCTCTCCGACTGTGTCGTACCCTTCAAGGGTAGCATCGCTACCCCTGAGTGCGCTTCGCTTAACCTGCAAGAAATCGCAGCCCGCCACAGTCACGCTCTCCACAGTCAATTGCGTTTGTTAACAATTAGTGTTGTAAACTAAATGGGTAACTAGCCACCTATTTCGACTTCAACGAAAAAGTCTCTACTACTCTATCCTTGTCCTGATCCCTGTCCTGACACAGTTTCAGTTGATTAACAAGGAATCTACAGACGAAGACTCAGCACACATCGGACGTCTACCCCTCGGAGAGAGGAACAAACTCCGGCTCTGAGTTTCCAAATGTGAAAAACGCCAGCGCCCCCACCGATCCAATCATCAGTATCACTCTGGCAATCGTGAACAATGAGATGAATGACCAAGGAACGAAAAGCTTCCCGGTCTTTGGGTGCACCGCGTATTGGTCACATCGACCATGCACTAGGTCTGCCATATCCCATCCCGACACATAGGGAATGAAACAGAGGTAAATTGCCAGTAGATGTGGCAAAAGGTTCACCATAGCAAATCCTAAGGCCATGGCGAGAGGAAGAATATTCTGGTATGCAAAAGTCCCGAGGACGCCGTCCACCTCCACTACAACCGTTTGAGTATCAGTTGGAGGATTGATAAATCCGTATGTGATCGCGAATATCAAAAGAATCGCCATGACAATGTTGAACCATATCCGTTTCAGGTTCTTGAAAATGTTCCTCCGGTGCTCTTGGACTTCTTCAGCACTTCGTACCCTTTTCCTCCTCTTAAATCCCCGCCCATCTTCATCTTCAGATTCCGATGTAGAAGACGAGTCATCTTGACCGGAAATTGGGACAACGTGATTGTCTATCGGTTCCGGATGCTTGACATTCTCCGGTGTACTGCCCACAAGTCCCTGTGCAGGCGTCTCTGGAGACGGTCGTCCCAGAACAGTCATCCTGGGATCGTGTTGAAATTGCTCGGTTTCTTCTTCCTCCTCGTCCTGCGCCTCCTTCTTGTTTCCGTTTTTGACGGCTTGTGACTTGTCCGTCACTTTGAACTTGAGATCCTGTCCCTTCACCAACGCGGTAAACAGCCCTTTCACCGTTATGTACCTGAAGATGGGCTCAAACGCCATCGCCCCAGACTCGGATTTGTCAAGCCCATGCCCGCCAGCCGTCAGGACCACGCGCACCACAATGCCAGCCATCAAGAAAATGGAGACGAAAATGATGAACTTTTTCGGATCTGGCGCGTCCAGTGGAGAAATTCCAAACACGAGCAGCAACACAGCCCCTACATCATACATAAAATGCACCACAGATATCAGCCTCGCGTACGTCATGTGAACGTAGAGCAATCGCTGAAGTAAGCTGAGGCCCTTTGCAGTGAGAGGCCCTTTCATACTGAAGAGGATTTGCCAATCTCCCTTGAGCCAGCGCGCACGCTGCCCGAGATTGCTCCACAGCGAAGTCGTCGCTAGGCCAGTGGCGAGTGACTCGTTCACAAAGTAGGTGCGGTAGCCTAATTGGTGGAAGCGCAGCGACATGGCAGTGTCCTCGGTGATGGAGTGATAAGGGTAATAGCCGGCTTCTTTGAGGGCGACGCGACTCAACATGTTGTTAGTGCCAATCATGGTGGAAGCGTTGAACCAGTCCTTGCCCGGAAGGACGAGCTCAAAGAAAAAAGTGGAGCGCTGGTCCAACGGGTCGCTGTCATACGGGGAGAGGTTGCGAAAATGCTGAGGCGTCTGGACGACGGCGAGGGTCTCGTTGAATTCGTATTTTTCAATGTCCGGATTCCAGACATAGAAATACGGGAGCAGCCTCTGAGCGATGTTTGGGCGTGCGACAAAGTCAGCGTCAAGAGTGATGACAATGTCAGTTGTGGTTCTTTCAAGGGAGTAGTTGAGGTTGCCAGCTTTGGCATGAGTGTGATCCGGTCTAATGACATAATGGATGTTCTTGTAGCGCTTGCGAAGCTGGGAGACGAGGGCGCGTTTCCTGACGTCCTTTCCGTCATCACAGAGATAGATGGTGAGTAGCTGTTTGGGATAGTCGATATGGACGGCGCCCAGGAGGGTTTCCAGGACGAGATCGACGTCCTCGTTATAGCAAGGAATGAAGACGCCAATAGAAGGGTAGTTGGAATGTTCCTTGGTGACTGCATTCCTCGGAGAATTGAAGGGGATAGGGTGAATGAGGTGGTTAGGAATGTACTTAAAGTCGATGCAGTTACGGCGGCAGACTCTCCAGGCCTCGAAAAAGCGGAAGGTGACACTGAAGACGCTGATGACCTCCAAGACGAAAAAGAATATCTGGTATGTCAAGAAGTGCGGGCGGCGCGAGCGTTCGAAGATGCCGATGGTCTCGCGGGCGCGGAACTGGAGGTAGGCGATGCCTGCGAGGAATTGGAAGATCATGAGGAAGCGGACGAGGTAGTACTTGTAGCGCAAAAAGCGGGTCTCCTCGAGCCAGTGGACCGGCATGGACGGCTTCCACTCGCCTTTCAGCATGGGCTTGATGGGCTTGGTGCCGCGCGGGCCGCCGCCGGCCGCCCAGTGCCTCTTGAAGCGTTCTGAGTCCGTCGGGAGGGGCATGGTGGAGGTGAGGGAGGTGAGGGAGGTGGGGGAGGTGGGGGAGGTGG